AAAAGATGATATTACAAGAGCAAAGTATATACTTCTGGTGTGTTCTACGTCTATATACAAACACGTCATCAGAAGTAGAGCATCCGGGTAAACACCAGCCTGTCTGGCCGAATTCCGATATACTTTTTCGGCGCATCTATCATTGACTATTCGTTTACAGATGCTGACAGTAGGTTAAATCGACGTTTAATTGAAATGTGAGCGTGCTTCTATAGTCTGCTCATTTTGCGAAGTGTCCCGATTGCAATCCGTCCGACCAGGTGTATGTCGTCGAAGGCGCATTGCCGACCGTTCAAGAAATTCCAAAATTGCGACGCGAGAACGTGTAGTGACCCCGTAGTGCCTTCCACCTCCCAGGCCACATATGAGGTCACGTGATTACAAGTCTCGATCTGCCTCTGGGACAGCCAATCGCAGGTGCTGCAAACTGCGCCAACGCTCAATCTCCTGCTCCTCCCGGCTGCTAGCATTTGCGCACTTGTAAGCCGACCCCAATTCATCTGGCCAATCACCTTTAAGGCTGACCACACAAATACCGTTTTTGGACGCTGCGATGGTTGCCACATTCACGCACTTTGGACACTGGCCCCCTCGCGGGTGTTCATGCACTCGTGCACTCCGTCACCTTCCTCCTACCTGTTCCGCAATACTTCAGAATAAACTACTCCTCCCATCGGGCGTGTCCCTTCTTCCTTTCCCCTACGCAACCAGGCCTGAAGATCGTAGCGGCAAGGGTTTTCCCGGTAAACTTAACCCACTGCTGCAATAAGTGCACACATTATGCTGCAGTAGATGGTGGGGCATTGAGGACAATTTACTCGGCATGATGACCATTAGAATCCCCCTACATGCGACAGCCATCGGCTATTGGCTGCATGAACAGGCGACGGCTTTTCGATGACAACTCAGTTGACCGACCGCCAATTGTCTAGCCAACTGTCTTCACCATTGAGGAAGGGTGAAGAGGTCCGTCAGACAGGTCTGTGTGGTCTTTTTTGTTTTTCTCAATC